TTGTAGTGTGTGTGTGTGTGTGTGTGTGTGTGTGTGTGTGTGTGTGTGTGTGTGTGTGTGTGTGTATGTGTGTATGTTGCACCGCATCTTCTCAGCGCATGTTTGTTTGACAGTTCTCCTGGCCTCCGCCTTTAGTGCTGAATGGGTGCAGAGATTCTTTTCCCATGCTTTGAACAACACAATCAAATACTGATACGTAAACGTCATGGCTGCTGTTTTACCAGCGCTGAGAAATACCTAGTTTCTGTGAAGTAACAGAGAGAGGAATGTTTCCTCTCTCCTGTGTGCCCCTGCCAATACCAGTACATTGGCTCACCTGTGATTCCAGGAGCAACAGTGGACATAAAAGCATGAACATCCAGAGCATGTAATGAAATTCAATGCAATATCCATGGAGTAAGTGCTACTGTTGTGAAGCTAGGTATATTGTTATTGGTTGTCAGTTTCTATTCTGAAGAGCTTCTGTTACTGTTCCTGTTTGTTAATCCGATGAACTGGTGTTCACGTTATTGTGTCCACTGCCTCTATGAATACGAGCTTTGATATTTAGAGAATACAACCGCAGATCTTCATGTTTGTTTCAGTGAAGCAACCCACAGTTGTAGAGATCCCTTGTTTTAACACAAGTTGTGTTTTTACAATGGGCTTTAAACAGAACGAACATCACAGGGGAAATATGACAAATCACTGAGATTATTGATTATTTATGATCATTTTAAGCTTCTAGAATTCTCAAAATACTGACTAAATGGATTGTGTTTTCATGTTCTTTTCTAAACTACATCGCAGTGTCACTATTATACTTCCATATCATACCATGCTGTGTACTATGAATGAATGTACTACTGGGCCAGTTTATTCCTTTCCACCATCTACCTGCATGAGACTGGGTAAAGATGAATATTCTTTTTGCTACCTTGTGTTTTTTATTTAGTCTGCCAGGCAGCCATACAGATGTTTATATATTAATGCCTTAAGTTTGCTCCATTGTAGGAACAGTTCCTAGGACATTTTCATACTCATAATAACCTATGTTTTTATTTATAAATGTATGTTGTTTCATTTTCGCTCCTTGGTCACAGAGTAAGAGAGGTTTGTACCCTGACTGGTCATCTGAGTGTTCTGTGAAGATGTAGAAATAAATTTGTTAAACATTCACCCAGCTGTGTTTGCTCTTGCACTGTCCCTCGACTGTAAAGCGGGCCTTTTTCTTTATTGAATAATATGTGTAATTGACAGTAAATGTCTATGTTCAACCTAAATGACTCAGTTCTTGATTTTATTTTTAAGGTTCCTTAAAAATTGTGGATGCCTGAAAAGGGAATTTCATTACAGGAAATACACAGCAAAAAGCTGCTGAGGGCAGTATTGGTAAGCTGCATTCTTATTCACACATAAAACCAACACAGAACAAAGTTTGGCTTTATTTTCTTGCAGATTTTGACAGATTTCCAGTGGAACATTTTTCTAATGAACTGTCACTGAGTGCATTTAATGACTCTGATTTACTTAAAGCATTGTGATACCAAACTGATACCACTTGACTCTGCTCATTCTGGCAATTAATACGATCTCTGTCATCATTTCAGTCCTTATGTTCAGTCCTTTCTGAAGAGTTGCAGGCCCTAAAATGGGTTGCTTTCCCCTTTTCCCCCTTTGAAAATGGGTAATATTTTTTATGAAACCTTTCTGCTATATTGTTTTAAATCTGAAGATGTTCCTTCTCAAAAATCCCTGCAATGCAAGCCAGTATATTGGAAGACTGATTCTACAAAACAAACAAAAGTATCTGTCAGGAACGTCTGATAAGTGAGACGACTATTTGTGGAATATTTTATCCCACCAGGTCTATATCACTGAAGGCCCCATCTCCTGATGGCGGTGGAGAAGCCACCTTGACAGTAGCATTCACAGGAGCTACAGGCAGAGCTGAAAGGACTGGGTGGAAAGGTTTCCAAGGCTTGGACGGGCAGTGGAAGGGACTGTCTATTGCAGCATCTGCAGCGCCGGCAACCGAGGCCACACCAGGAGGCGATTTGGTCCCTGTTTCGTCCTCCTCAGATGATTCTTTTTTGGTTGGATCCACGGCAGAGGGTTGTGATGGTAAGGGTGTAGGTCTGATAAAGTTCCTGAGTGGAGACCAGCCAGGAGGACGACGCCTGGTATTCTGGAGAATATGGTATGTGATAAGTGGATGAACTGATAAATGATGCTGCTGTCTTCTGCACTGGCACCAAATTACAGTTTTTAGGGTGAAGGTGAAGCATTGTGTCATTTAGGATTGGCAGTAGTATGGATAAAATTATTGTGCTCACATGATATTTTACATTGTGCAAGGGTCAACTTTAAGCTGTTGTCACTCTTACTATCTTATACTGTACATAAGCTCTCAGTCAACATTATGCAGACATCTATATATAATTTCAAATTCCAAAACTCAGATCTATTATCTATTTTTGATAACTCTCTTTTTGCACATAATTTAACTGTTAATATAATCTTATAATTAAGAATGGTGGCTGTCCTACTCTCCATTGGATTTCTTAAAAAATGGCAAAATGCTGCCTGATTAACTATTTTGTTAAAAGTTGGTCTCACCAACTGAGGCAGTGCCCCTGGTTCACACTTTATATTGGCCACTGGAAGCTCATGTCTCCACGGCGCTACATCCACTGTAGAGTTACAGTGAGCAAACACCTGTAAATACACAGAAGGATAAATAAGACCCAGAAAGATCACATTATGTCAGGGGCGGTAAATAATTTACGTTTGTGTTTACCACATTCTCATCATCAGGGAGACACAGTTCATTGAGTTCCTTATGTTCGGTCTTGGCGCAGGTTGTCTTCCGCATGTCAAAACTCACTTTGAACCTGAAACCTGCTACCACCTGCAGGGACGCAAACATGCAGTAGGCAGAAAGAAAACAGAAGTTTTCCTACTTCCTCTCCCTTTGTATCCCTCAGTAAGTACCTGTCTGGTGGCGTGGCCGACAAAGTGCAGGTTAAACAGGTGAGTGGAGTCAGAAATGGAGTTATACTTGGAAACAGAGACAGAGAGAGGAACTTTAAGGTCCTCGGAGTTCTCATTGATGTCCTCAGGGCAGCCCAAACAGTGAGCTTTCTCTGGAAAGGCGTGATCGTCTGAAGAGGAGACAAATCGTGAACACATGGGAAAGAAAGAATGAAGCAGAAGTAAAAGTGAGGAGGTGGCAACTGGTTTGCTTTTCTAGTATAAAAGTAAATTAGTTAAAGAATATTATATGGTTAACTTCCCTCAAGGTGGGGGAAGTGATTCCTAATGGGACAAGGTAACCTAACATTGTTTAAGTTCTGCAATACACAGTCAAGTGGCCCAAAATTCATTGAAGGGCTTTTTGTGTGCAAGAAATCAGGCAAAAGAACTTGTTGAAATACTGCACCCTGCTTGCACTAAGTTTACTGAAAACAAAACACTATGTTTTCAATAAACGTCATGGAAAGCAGTTGCAGCTAAGCTTAAATAGGCCTAATACAGTGTAGTCAGATTTTGAATAAACTGAAGCTTACTGATTTTTGGGGGACAGACTTGCAAAGAGTGTCTTAAAATAATCCAGAATGCTAAAACTGAAAACACGATAAGTATTTTGAGTGTTGATGGAAATTTTAGTAAAGCTGCCTGTGTGGTTTTTGATTTGCTTCAGTGATCTCTAATGACTTATTACTTCAGTGCTGAGTTTGGCAGCCATATTGACTGGTTCATGGGAGAATATGAGTAAATCCCAATTCCCTTACTTGATCATTCCTTATCTTGACCCAGAAATAGTTGTGGTCCACCATCTTAAAGGACGTCCCAAAACTCTCACTCTTGCTATGAGGAGCCAGGAAGCTGCCTGGAGGAGCCATGAGCAAGACAATCTTTTGTGGAAGTCTTTTAGGGGCCGACATACCCCTTTATCAGAAATCAGCTGCTGTGCACTGACTTATGTGGCCTCTTTATTGAAAGTAATGTATCTCCATCCACATTTTAGTAGTTCTGAGTATCTGACCAAGTTCAGTTCATTTACAGTAAGTATGTGCAGATGCTGCATCCAGCCTGTGTACTTAACCAACTGTAATCTCACAAGTTTCACATCGCATTTGTTTGTATTTATTTCTTTGCTTATTTCTTTATATGGCCAGAGCCACTGAAGCAAGTAAATATTACTTTATTATAGAAAGGAATTTTCCAAGCTGAGCTTGCACAACATTTCTGAAGCAAGATGAAGAAACTAGGCTCTGTTTACTGTAGGTCAACAGTAGGCTGGTTAGACAAACAGATTAAAGTCTAGACTATGCTGTTGCCTTTTATGGTGGGATAAGTTAATACTGTGCTTTCTCCAATAGTGATAGTGTTGATATATTACACAATCAGCCCTGCCGTGTATCCCTGTGTCCACCAGTGTACATTTTCCTCACTGTTTTCTTAATGAGAAGTATGTTCCCTTCAAACTGATCCACAGTGGATGATACCAATGCACCACAGAGTCCTGCAGGAAGAAGACTGTCCACACAGTTTTGCTCATTATATGGGATGAAAATGGGTCAGTTTCCCCAGTGGAGACATCAACTGACAAGAGAAGTACTAATGATCCACTGGTTTCACAGTTAAATGCTTAAATGAGGTCCCCAGGTTTAAGAATCTTGCTTACTGAGAGCATTTCCTGGCAAAGTAAAATCTCTTTTTCTTTAAGTAAAAACATTTTAGTGTGCCTGCACTAAAACTGCTGTTTGTGTTATAACTGAGATAAACCTGTTCATTCACTCACTCACCAAGAAAGCAATACACCTGTTTGGTGTCAGTTTCTGTCTTTGTCATGTAGACTGTGGCGTTGCATGAAATTGGGCTCTGTGGGAATAACAGGACACTTGATGTTATGATTACTGTTAAAAATAGCAAAATGACTGCTGCTTTTAAGAAAGAATTTGCTCCAAAAATACAACAATCTACAGCTTTGGTTATATTTACAGTAGAGTTTATCTTCTCCAAAGAAATAAATGGAGAACAATTATCAACTTGTGTACTAGTTGTGTGTCATCCCATCATTTTTACCCTGTGTCCAGTAGCCAGATAGTCACAGTCTGTCCAGGGTTTGCTGTCCCCAGCTGGACAGTCACTCCTCCTGGTGGTGAACTGCAGTGAATACACTGAGTGTGTGCTGTTCTCCGACTGCAGACACAAACACTTGGTATCAGAGGTCAAAGTATCTAAACATGTTTTCCCCAAATTTCTTGGTAATCCCCCCACAGATTTAACTCCTCTTGTTTCCTCCCCTTCCAGTGTCAGCACTGAAATGGGCTGTATGGATTTTAAAGCAAGTAACAACTCAATTCATCCACGTTTGAATCTTTAACACAAAACTGAATTAAACGGTTAATTTACTTCTATAAGTATAATTCTGAAGTATTAGCACACCACGTACATTTAGTGCAACATTGTACTGTACTTAATACTTTTCAAATAGAAAGTTAATTTACTTTTTAAGCACTGCATTTCTACATTATATTTATCTGACAAGAAGCAACTAATATAATATATGGCTCTATAAATCCCAGTTTATTTCCAAATAATAGAAAAAAGAGGTTTTCTGCAAAGAACCATATAATTTGACACAAATTATAGCTAAAATTAGAGAGGGATCCGTTGGTACACTTTAGTTATTTCTAAGGGCAAAGCTAGCACAAACGCGAGGCTTTTATTTAGAGGATAAAAGTTGAGCTACACATACAAAGTGTAAAATCTGTCTACAGACAACATAGTTCAGCATAGAAGAGCTACATTTTAAATAAATAAATAGTAATTATGAACTATTAGGAAAAAGCCAACCTGTAAAATAAAGTGTTACCCATAATACAGGCTCTTAAAACTTATGCACTGATGTAATTAAAATTGAATTAGGATAAAGGGTTAATTTAATATGCAGTAAAGAATGTTTTTAAAGCTGTACAGTGATAAATGATTTGTAGTCACTGAATAGTCTCATTACACTAATTAACTTAATCAAGTAGCGTATTGTAAATAAAAGCTTGTTTGTGTGTACTGTTACTGTACAGTATATTTCTAAATTTCTACAGTTTATGCTATGAAGGGATTGTCAAGCTACAACAGGTGAGTGGAATAACCTACTTTTACACTGTAAAAGCAACCAAGCACCTGTACAACTGCAGTAGCGCTAGAAACATTCCTGCCATTTCTGGGTTTTGATATGTTACAGGAACATCAGGATGCGGTACTGTGGGATCCTGTAAGGAGCCTTGATGACTGGAATCAGGATACAGAGAAAAAGCAGGTGAGGCTAAATTGCAGCGAGTTGGTTGCTGTACCTTGCTGGCTGTTAGGATCTGAAAGAGGGCCAGCTTGTTTCCAGTGGTCAAGTTTTCATTGAACTTGTGAACAGCACTCCTGACAGCCTTCTTCACAGATGGGTCATCACAGAACTCCACGGCCTCCTGAAGAAGAAGAAGGAGGACAAAATCAGGTGGAGACCACAGATTAAAGATTTTTTCTTTACTGTTTCAGTTGTAGTCAGAAAATACAAACAATTTGTATTATAAGATTTATAATATAACATTCCCTGCAGTCGTGTCCTTGTGAAAAGTCTAGATGTGATTGTTTTTTTTTTTTTCAATATTCAGAACAGGTTTAGTTCTCAGCCAGCTGAGTGGCCTTTTTTGCTGGCATGTGACTTTTGTGTAACATATTTTGTTAGAATTTTGTATCTTTGTCAACTTGACCATTTTTATGCCTCTATGCCGACAATATGTTTAATGTTTTTTGGTTGTCAGACTGGCCCGTTCTTGTGAAAGCGATATATCAGGAACACCTTGAGGGAATTTCTTCAAAATCGGCAGAGGTGTCCACGTGGACTCAAGGATGATGGTAGGCAAAGTTCAAGGCTAAAGGTCATGGTCAGTGACCTCATGTCTGTTCCATTCCTGTGACTGGGACTGGTTGGCGGAGGTATACAACCACTAAGCAGTAATTCTAGTTTTCAAAGTAGTTTTTTACTATTTTTTCTAAGTAGCTTTAGTTAACCAAACTAGATTTCTCTGGATCTTTGCTGTAGTTCAGCTACTCCCAGTGTGAAGTAATTGGTAGCTTTACCACCGCAGTCAGAGTGGTCGTGATAACGAGGTATACAAAATCAGGTCTGACTTATCTCTAGTCCTTGGGAAAGCCATTCTTCAGTTAACCTGGTGAAGCATATCTGCTGGTTTGATCACCTCCATTTTTAACAATTTAAAATATTGTACTTTTTACTCCTCTGCATTTATCCAACCCCTGTAGTTGTTACTTTAACGTTTTACTTCCAAACTTTCTTTTTATTTACTTTCTTTATTTGTATTATTTAACCTTTGCTTACAAAGGGAAATTCCCTTCAGGTCAGTGACCTCTTGCCCTGGAATGACAGCAGCATTAAAAACCAACAGCATACAAACCAATTACAAAGTGCACACTGCTGACAAAAAAAACTCTCCATAAGAATAAAATATAATTCTATTTACTAACAGAATACAACAATTCAGATATTAAACTAAAAACTGTAATAAGAGGAATGAAATTAAAAGAAAAACATGACAGTCAATAGAATATTTAGCTAAAAACAAGAAGGAAAAATAAATAGAATCATTTACTAATGTGTCTGCCATCATCTTAAATTTTGCCAATGATTCCAGTTCCATTAACTTAAAATTGCTTTACAAAGTGCTCCATGTGTTCAGGGCAGAAAAAGAAGAGGCTTTCTTTCCCACCTCTGTTCGAACACTTGGAGCAGTCAGCAGATAAGTGTCTTGTCATCCACAGGAAACCTGGATGTGACACATTGAAACGAGTTCACAAAGGTGTATTGGCAGTTTATCTATGATGGCTGTTTAAATAAAGATTTACCAGTGAGTCAGATGGAGCATTGTGAGCGGTGGCCGGCCCACTGTGGAGGACAAGCTGCAGGGATAAGTCAGTAGCTTTAAGCTGGTAATAAATCCCAAAGCATTGTGCTAAGCGGAGTCAAACCGCTGAATGAAAATTTAATTGAATTATGACAAACGATGCTTAACAATCGATTAAACTGCCCCAAAGCATACAAGGTAGTTACGTTTAACTACGGTATTAGATGTTAATGGATCAGTAATATACTATAAATCCTGTCACCAAATAAATTAAACTCTGGACCCCAGAGACTGAAGGCATCCTGCAGGACTGTTTCGCCCAGACAGACTGGGATGTGTTTAAAGCTGCAGCCACCTCAGAAGACTTTTCTGTCAGCGTACAGGATTATGCTGAGTATGTGACCGGATACATTAGTACCTGTATCGACAACATTGTGCCCACCATACAAGTCAGGAGGTT